CCCCAAAGCTTGCTTTGGTAAGGAAAAGTGTTGATTTTCAGCACAAACCTTGAGTTAACCATAAATATCTCCCAGAAGGAAACACAAGTAGCAGCAGCTGAATGTCACCACTGGAGCTGCAGGACCGAGCACCGTGCCCTGTTCTTCCAGCCGGCAGCCCCCGGTGCTGCCTGCAGGGCGAGGGCAGGAGGCTGCGGGGATGGGGAGCCGGCTGCCATCAGCTGGGAAATGGCACCTTGGAGAATCGTGTCCTGAAACAGGGAGGTGCAGCAGCATTCACGTGCCCTGGTCTCAGCAGGAAGGGCCGTGCTGGCTGTGCAGCATTTTTCCTGGCTTTTCTCCAGTATTTCCACACAGCATGATCAGTGCAAGGAGTTCTGCCACCTTCCTGTGGAAACACGGCTTGGATGATGGGACATGGCAAAGCAGCCCAGGGCCGTCATGCTCAGCTTCTGATTTGTATTACATTGTTCTGCTTTGTGTGATAATAGGTAAGGTATGTGGCTGATGCAATTTGAAATCCTGTTGCTGGTGATTTTTAAGGTACTGCTCCTTCAGACAAAAAATGGTTTGGCTCTTTATTCTGTTTTTATTTATGTCAGTGTGAATCTAATTAAGTGAAGGTTTCTCAATGAGGCTCCTGGCAGACTTGCAGACCTGGTTCTTACCTAGACATGCACAGGAGTCCTGTGAGGAATAACAGCAGAAACACAAAAATCTTCCACATTTTCCTTCTACCTTCTCTGTCCTGCAATGACTCCTCTCCTTGAACACCCAGAGTCAAGTTTAGAAGCTAGAGTGCTCTGTCTCTTAAGCTGTACTACCTACCTATACTTGAGGTTCCTCAAGAAACAGGAAATCTTGGCTGACTCAGTGTGTTTCTATCCAAGGAATTTTATACTTGTATCATGTGCCCAAAAGAAGCATTAAGGAGTGTTGTCTTGGTTCATAGAAGACAGGTGTCTGCTAGGGAGGGCTGGAGCCTCCCCATGAATGAAAGAATGTAGACCCCCTCCCTCCGAATTATTATAATTCTGAAATCAAGGGCTCTCAGGCAGAGATCTGGGGATAGGAATAACAGTTCTTTACTAGTATTTATAACAAGGCAAACAAACAACAATAACTACAGCATTAGCAAGAAAACAGAACCAGGGACCCCTGACAGCCTTCTCGGCTGAGATGGGATGGAGGAGAGGCTTTGTTTCCACAAACTCCTTGGGCGGGCAGTCCCAGTGCTCCTGCAGGGCTCCGAGGAACAGTCGGCTGGAACAGCAGGGATGAGCTGAGATCCTGGGCCGGTGGCTGAGGTGGATCAGCAGGGATGAGCTGAGATCCTGGGCCGGTGGCTGAGGTGGATCAGCAGCTCCACAGCGGTGGTTGCCACACGTCCCGGCAGGGCAGGGGGTGCGAGGCCACCAATGAAGAGGGAAGAAGGAGAATAAGCAGCAGCTCCATCTGGGTGATGGCGAAATCCCCTTCTCTCCACCGCAACTGCTCCGCACCCAAAATGTCTTTCCCCGAAGCTGAAGAAGCCGCCAAACTGTCCCCAGCCTCCCCTTTTCCTGCCCCCTTCCCCCCTGGGCCCAGCTGAACTCTTTGTCTTTTGTCAAGCACCCACCAAGTACCCGCAGTCAGGTTGTCCCCCCCGCAACTAATGGGTAAAAATTCCACAGGCAAGCCAGAACTAAAAAAAGGACACCTAACCCCCAACAAGTGTTCAGCCTGTTTTACTGGGCCAGAGCAGGCTACAGGTGCCTGTGTCCAGGGAGTATGTGCGTTACCTGCTACTGTACCCATCTCCTAGGAGAACTTATCCCCCACAGTGTCCAGAACTGAGCTTCAGTCGAAGTGCTTAGCTCACCTGAGAGCAGTATTTAGTTTTGTTGAGGTGGCAAATGGGGGTGACTGATGCCATACGCTGGTTCCTCCCAGAAGTGCTGACTGGGGCAGTCCTGGGATCCCCAGACAGGCCATTTCTGGGACCAGTGTGCTGACACTGCTCTCATGAATCTCATCATTAGTGCTATAAGTACATGAACTATAAGTTAATCCTACTGTAACATGATTATTAAATCCATTAATCAAAAGGAGGAGGTCCATAATTAACTTATTCTCCAGCATCAAGTAAACGATTCTGCTGTGAGCTTTAGGAAAGCAATTGTTCATTAATATGCAACATACAGTGGGGCTATTAGACTATAAGATTGTAATTGTATAATTAAATTATAAATTTCACATATTTTAATAACAGTTTAATTGTTTTCTTTGTAGGTTAAAATGGAGGTTCATATTTTTAAGATTTCACATATAGTTAAAAGAAAAATCAAAAATAACGTCTGCCCCCTACCTGTAAGCTGACCATTCCATGACAGGCTTTGACCAGACTTTTGGTGACTCACCTTACACCTGTCTCCAGCAGTGGCTGACTGTAGATTTCTCCTGTCATGCATTTCAGCAAATTCATTGTAGGTCACTGCAGACATTCAAATTTTAACTTGAAAAGACAAAAGAAGTGCCTGACAGCACTGTGTGCTGGTACCAGATGCTGGGTTTATTTCAATACAGGCTTACTGATTCCTTTTCCCACAAGTTCTTTCCAAGGGGCCAGATATATCAAGGATTCTTTTTCAAGTCTCTTCTGTGTCTCTGCTGTCCCAGTACACTAAATTTCTGAAAACTCTGCAGTCTTCTCCAGAAACACTTGAGCCTCCCACGCTAGAAGTGAAAGGTGGTGCTGGAAACCAGCAGCTGTTAATCAAGCATTTCCCTGAAGTCATTCTCTTGAGAGGCCGAGTTGCAACGAGGAGATTTTCACAGAAAATACCAGGAGGACATTTCACCCATATGTCCTGCCTACATTTCCAGCCTGCTGAATCCAGCCTGCTTCCCTTAACCCTTTTTCTGTACACTTCCATCATGTATTGCCGATAGAAGCAAGAGCCATCATTGTTCCTCTTCCTGGATATGAACTTTTGTGCCCCTCTGTTTTGGGAATGCTTTTCCATTAGCCCTCTGTTTTGCACAGACCACAGTACTTTCAGGTGTCATGTTTTACTGCAGTTTCATGCAGAGAGAAGCAATTTTTGTACCAAAGGCAGTTGCTGTGTACATCACCAGTGACATGGGAATGCCACCAGGTACAGCAGAGCTTCAGACACCAGGACTTGGGCAAAACACATCAGCACTTGGCACACAAACCCAGAGAATAAAAGAGCAACACAAGAAAGAGTCTTGCACACACTACCAGCTACAAGCAGCAGGACAGAAATGGACAGTGGGCAGCAAAGGGTGGGAAATACAGGTGGCACCCACTTACATTTGCTTCCAGGGTGTGGCTGGCATGAGTGAGAAAGTGTCCAGCAATGTCCATGTGTGGCCCTTGCTATTCTCAGCCCCTTCTGGGTTCAACATGCAGCAGGATGTTGGAAAACTGGCCTGGCTCCTACTGCAGACCTGCATCAAATGTACTCTAGGCATTTGCAGCTAGAATAAAACAAAATAGAAAACCCTAAAGCCACACGGTTCTGACTTCAGCAATGTTTCAAGGTGCTTTTAGCTGACAGTCTGAGCAATAGTGTCAGCTCTGGCTGCTGTGGGTGCCTGTCCATCCCACCCCTGCAGAGGCAGAGACAGGAGGGACATGAGGAGGCTGAAGCCCAAAGCTGATACTGGTGCTGCTACCAGCAAAGTTCTCCAGAGTGGCAACCACATTGTTTCCTGGCAAAGTCTAATGGGAAGGGAGATATCCAAAACTTGCAGACAATGAATATAGAGTATTTTTTCTCAGCAACCTTAGTGTTGATGGATAGGACAGTTTGCCTTATCCAGTTTATATAGGAGCAGCTGATACAAAATTACTTCATAGCTGGATATTTATAAGAAGTTTCATTTCAAATAATAGAGTTTTTGCCTCTGGTGGTGCTGTGGTTTAGCCCTATTAGTACTGGGAACTGAATCTGTAGGATATTCCAGCTGTAAGTGTAGGACCTGTCTACGGAGCAAAGTTAATATTTCCCAAAGCAATGAAAACTTTATAATGGAAAGTCACGTTAGCAAAAACTACCTGTTCCTAAAACCAGCCAGGAAATCAGGCACAGAGAGGAAATCCAGGGGATGTTCCTTCAGCTGCATTTTCTCACAGCAATACTGAATGTTCTCCATGCCAGTGAATGCACAGATACTCCATCTTGGTCCTCCTCTGGGAAAGCCACCAGAAACTAAGCTGTGATATAAGCAACATTCTCTCACCTTGTCTCTGCTGCACATGAATCTTGCATAAACTACTACTGTCCCTTGAGGGAAATAGGATTCACCCCTGGTGCCAGGCCTGAGCCACATCAAAGCATCAAAGCAATGGGATTGTAACAAAAGCTGTGGCTAATGAAAGCAAGCCCTGAGGGCAGCCACCTGCTGAAATCAGTGAATTGTTCAGGCAGGAAAAGGCCTTTCGGGAAAAGGGTCTATAGCACAAGTCACATGAGGAGCAGCTGAGGGAGCTGGGAAGGGGCTCAGGCTGGAGCAAAGGAGGCTCAGGGGGCCCTTCTGGCTCTGCACAAGTCCCTGCCAGGAGGGGACAGCCGGGGGGTCGGGCTCTGCTGCCAGGGAACAGGGGCAGGAGGAGAGGGAACGGCCTCAGGCTGGGCCAGGGGAGGCTCAGGGTGGGTATTATGGAAAATTTCCTCACTGGAAAGGTGTTGGCATTGGAACAGGTTGCCCATGGCAGTAGTGGAGTGCCCATCCCTGGACAGATTTAAAAGCCACGCGGATGTGGCACTTGGGGACAGGGCCTTGCTAGCAGTGGCCTTGGCAGTGCTGGGAGAACAGCTGGACTCGATCCTCTTGGGGGGCTTTGTACAAAGAAATTCCTTTTGTTAACACTAATATTTGGCAACTAGTGTAAAACATATTAGGGCATTTTAGTTGGGTTTTAAAGAAAGAAGGCAATACAGAAAAGAGATAATGATTTTTTTTTTCATAGAGAATCTCTCTGAGGGGTTGTGTTCATATCACAAACATTCACTTTATTATGGAATGGACTTCAAATGCCAGTATATACAAGCCAACACTTCATTATTGGAGTTTGTTTTTATCCACTTGCCATTGTCAGCCTGTTCCCCTCTGTCTCCTTGTGCTGCTCTTCGTAAAAGCGATGATTTATGAATCTGTGGGTTAGATCCCTCACAGTACATCGTGGTGAAGTGGTTCAATAAAAAGTTATTAAAGTAAAAAATCTAGTTTCACGTGCTCTGCTCACCTTCTCGAGGAACCCCCAAGAAGAGTTTCTTAAGCTAAGCAAACATTGTAACAAATTGCAAACTGAGACCTCACCCAGCCAGAACTCTGCTGAATGGAGCCGCTGCAGGCAATTCCAGTTGCCCACACATCTGCAGGATTGCCCCTCTCAGTGATGAAAGCAGCACAGACCAAAAAAAGGGTGCTGGGGTGGAGCAATCTGTCACCAAATATTCATTTTACAATCGGCAAATAAAGACTTGCAGTACTCTTTAGTTACACAGTACCAATGGCATTTGGTTCTCAAATGTAACTGTGCATCCACATTTCATTTATCTTTAAAAGAAAACTCTGGCTCCTGCTGATTGCAGGACAAACAAAGATGACTTTGGGCAGTTTCCAGAGCCCTCTTAGAATATGGTTTTTCTGAAAAAAGTAACAGTTTTTCAACCTAAAATAGAGGGTGAAAGGGTGATTTAAACTAGCCTACCCCAACCCACACGTTTTTCACCCAGCAGCACTGCTGGATTGTCACAGCTGCACAGCCACATAAAGGAGGGGACAACAAATAGGCCCCTTGTGCCTATGGCTGGCAAGGAGTGAGAGCTGCTTGTAGCAGTGAAGGCCAAAGGAAACACTCTCCAGGACAACAAATAATTTGTAAGGAAGACATGGAAAGTGCTAGAATCTGTTCAACTGCAGTACAGCAGGAAGAGTATAAGAGATGTGTTACAAAATTACTTTGGTCCCTCTATTTCATGTTCCCAAATCTCTGAAAAAATGCAGCTCTACAAACAAGAACCCTCCATCTGTCTCAGGGACAGAGAACTTCAGCAAGTGAGGGTTACCTCAGTGAGTGACAGATGTTAAAAGCACTGTGCAGTACCGAATCACCGTCCTGGCACTGCACCACCCGGGACAAAGCAGCACCATGCACGGGAGCTGTGCTGTACTGCACTGAGCTCCTGCTGCTGCCTCAGGGCTCTCACTGCAACAGAGCAGCTATTGAGGTAGCAATCACAGTCCCTCTGTTCTCTCTGGCAAACAAAAAAAACAACCAGTCACAATCCTATACATCCTCTGGGACATCTCAACTCAAAGGTCCCAACCTGCTCTAAGCTACCAAAATTATTCTGCCACCTGCAGTGCTCTGTAGCTGCCAGTGCAGTCCTGCACACACATCTCCAGCCAGGTGAGGTGTGGAATGAAATGCAGCTATGAGCAGAGCAGTCCAGCACAGCCACTCAGCTGAACAGCTGCTGTCAGAGTCATTGCTGCTGATGCATGCACACCTCACACACTTGGTATGGGTACCTCAGGAAACACAAGGAAGCTTTTTGTCCACATTGAATTCACTGAGGTTAGGTAGCTGGATGCCCACTGATACAATTCCTCTCCTGCTGAAGTAGGAGAATGAAGCAACTAATTTCTACTAAAAATATAGATAATAAGCCCAATAAAACACATTGACCACCATGAAAAACAAAGGGAAAAGCAATTTGGAGTAGTGGTCCACATTGCCAGGATTCTGAATTGTGAAATAACCAATAATCCTGTGCATTTTGTTTCTCAAGACACACTTGATTTTCTCATGACTTTTCATGGTCAAGTCACTGCAGTTAACATTATTGCTGGAAATCTCAATACTTGTGAAGCTGATTTTCTGTTTATAGCTGGTGATGGAATTGTTGAGGATGTTGGTGATGTTAACTTGTTCCATTTCTTCAGTCAGCTCATTTGCAGGCCCCTAGGAAACAAGAGTGACGTTTAAAGGTCTGTATTCTCCTGCAGAGGAAGGAGACCATAAGGATAAAGACATAAGAGCATAGCTTCATATGTGATTATCACAACACTCAAACACATCTTTCAGCTGCTGCCTAATCCTAGGAGGGCCTGAGGTCCCAGAGATGCCTGTTTCCACCACTGTATTTCTAGAGACATTTTTAGATCATTGAGCAAGTCTTACTCTGGGTAATCCAACATCCATCTCCTACAGAATACCTATCTCTTCTTGTCTACATGGTAGCTTAATGGCTGGCAACTCAGTATTGAGGTGAGAAACCTCCTTTTCCCCTGAGAGCATTTGGGCCCTTGATGACTGCTGGACTACAGTCATACCTGATTATTTAATTTCTCACACTAAAGCATAGCCCTTGAACAACTCACAATCCCCACAGAACACTGTGGGACAGATGTTCCAAAGCATCTTCTGGGAAGGGAGGAAGAAGGGTTCAGCTTTCCTCTGGTAGAGAGAAGGACCTCCCTTATTGGAGTTATTTGATAGAAGAGCAGAGTTGTGGCTCTTCTCTGTGTGCATTTGAAAGGAGCAGATGTCCTTGCTACTCACACCAGCCCAACTCAGGGCTAAGGACTCAATGCAGTGCCAGGCCCAAGTGCCCTTCTGGATGTAGTCCTATGAACCCAACAGCACTCCAGTTAAGGCTGTTAATGTAATTAACAGAAGTTAATTACAGTTAAGGCTAACTTCTGTAATGCTCAGAAGTCTGCCAGAGTCAGAGCACTCCTGTGCTATTTGTGGTTGTTACACACAAGAGTTTAGATTTAGTGCCAATTAGGAGAAGTATTGTTGATGTATCTGTAGCAGGAAGAACATTTGTCTTGAACTAATTGCTGTCAGTCCAAGACCAGTGGCCTTACTAAGGTACCTCGGGCCTTACCTCTTCTGGTGCTTTAGCTGCACACTTCTGTGATGAGCTGTAGTGAGCCACTGCATATTCCACAAGGGCGCCAAAGATGAAGCTGAAGCAGATGCCAAGATAAACATCAATGGCCTTAATGAAACAGTTGGTTTTTGAAAGTGAGCTTCGTGAGCCGATCATCAGAGTTGTCATAGAAAGCACTGTTGTAACTCCTTGGAAAACAGAGAGACCATTTCTTGTGGACACTGGAGAAGTCTTGGCCTACCCTTCTGCTCATGTCATTGCTCTCTATTGCTGGCCAGATAAAGCATATCACTTGTTACCAAATCCAAAGCATCCATCATAGCAACTGAAATGCTTTTGTAGCATTCACTAGCTTTACACAGGCTCTCCCTGCCTTTGGCAGCTTGGCTCCAACAGGCAGCCGGCTCCCTTCTTTTTCATGCTTTCAGTAAAAAATCCCCCCATCCTTCTCCCTCCAAAGCACACCACAAAGATCTGTCCTCTGCTCTCTGCAGTGAATCTCCTGGGAGCTTCAGCCACACACAGCCCTGCAGGTCCCTGCCACAGCATCTCCTCCACACCAACCCAGCTCTGACCCAAAGAGCAGCATACCATTTATCCCTGAACATGTTATAGTGCATCTAAAAATCTTGGTATATCCCAAGTGTAAAACTCACCTCTGGTTTGTGTAATGTGAGTTCCTACCTGAAAACCTTCTTTCCCTTCCCCCTTCCCATTGGCTGTGACCTCCCTGTATCCCCTGATCACCCCTGCCCCATGGTATAAGAGATAAGACATTTCAGTCTCTCTCTTGCCCCTGATGGACGACAGACAATAAATAAACCCGGGATTATTCCAGCAAGTTTGAGCCTCCTGTGTCTAGATACTTTGAGTCCGTGTTGTATCCACTGCAGGACCCCCTCCACCGCCCGTGTCCCCAGACCAGCAGGGCTCTCACCACGGGGGGTGGGACAGAAGGGTCCCCCAAGAGAAAGGACTACAACATGAGCAGGTAGCTCAAGAAAAGTACTGGCTACACAGCCTTCAAAGTCTCCTCTGCCTGCTTAAATCTTCTCCATTCCGCAGACAAAGACTCACCAATGCAGGTTCTTGCAGGCACTGAGTCCAGTGTGATCCAAAAAGAAACCCAAGACAACATGACAAGCAGAGTGGAGGGCACATAGGTCTCCAAAATGAAGTAAAGGACATTTCTCCTCAGTTCAAACTGCAATATCAGTCGTGGGTAACTGCCTGTTTGTGAAAGGAAGAGACTTGGTGAATGCGAGGTTCCCAAGGATACCTGAAGTAAAATTTGCTGCCCAGCAGCAGCCCCTCCGCTGATGGAGCTCAGCAGAGCTCCTGCAGGTAACACACCTGACAGACATGGGAGGACATGCACAGTGCTGACAGGCAAAGAGGCACATGAACAGCACCTGAACAGCACCCTCCTCTCAAAGGGGCTCCTGGCCCTGAGCACAGAGGAAGTGTCACAGCAGGGCCCCAGCTCTGAGCAGAGCAGGGCTGATGCTCTCACCTGTTCTCTCACACCTTTCCCAACACCTGCTCTGAAGGGCACTGCCAGGTTCAGCCTTACCCAACAGCTGACAAACAGGCCAAATATTTGTCTCTCAATGTCAGCAGGCTCTGGCCCACATCCCAAAGCATCCCTGAGTCTTGTCATCACAGAGAATCAGACTCCCGTTTTTGTTAGTGATAATGATATCTTTTTGTGCTCAAAAAAATTCAGTCATCTTTTAAAAACCAATTTGTTGTAAATACTGACATAAGTGTTCTGAGGCTGGATCGGTAGTGTTTTCAGGACATAGTTCTGCTCTATAAACAATCATTCTTTTTGAAGCGTAGAAACAAAGTCCATGTTGTTCATGGGCTGTGTATGCAACAAAAATACAAAACACTGTTATTTTTTCAAATCTTATCATTCTAAGGAAGTTTTTCCTGCTTTCATAGTATCTGTAATTGGAGAAAAGAGTGCTTTACACTGATCATGAAAAAGACATTGAATTCTGATCTACAAAAATATGTTATTCCATCATGATAAAACTGTAATTTACAAACAAATGTATATAAAAAAAATTAATTTTATTCTTAGTTACTGTAAACATTGCTCTCTGCAGTACCTACAGACTGCACTCCTGGATAGAATGTATAGAGTTTTTTCAGATATGTGTGGAGGAAAATAAGGAAAATGAAAAAAAAAATTAAAAATCCATCAAATGAATACAGTATATTTTAAACCTCCATCTTTCTGTGGATTTCCATTTTACAGAATACCCTGACTGCAACTCATAGGATGTCACCACCTTTCTGTTCATCTCTTTCTGTGAGATTAAGATCTCCTAAAGGCTTTACTGGTTCAGGACTGAGTCAAACGATCCCGACCCACAGGAGGGGAGGAGATGGGATGGGGAGTACCCAAGAGCTTTCCCTGCTTTTTCCTCTCACAGATTTACCTGTCTCCTGCTGTGACGTGGAGACCAGGGTGTGGTAGCGCTCCACTGTGTACTGGGAGAGCCGCAGCTTCTCGATGCCATGCACGGAGCTGTTTCCTCTCAGCCAGGCGAAGGTGACATCGTTCTCATCGTAGCCCCCTGGGGAGAACACACACACTGCGTGACTGCAGTGGCCAGGGAGAGCCCAGCTGTGCCCTGTTAAGTCTCCTGGGGGAGCAGAAGCCCAGCACTGCAGACTGGGCAGAGGCCCCAGAGCTGAGTCTGACACAGGGGCACATTGGCTGGGCTGCCTTCACTGCCTCGGCCTGCTGCTCTGGAGAGGGACAGGAACATGCCTCTGGGAATGACACACGACATGCAAGGCTGCTGAGAGCCTCTTGCAGTTGTTTACATGGGGTATTTCTGTTTTCAAAGATAATCTGTTGCTGTCATACACGGCTTGATTATATACAATGGGATATTAGTACTGCTGTGACTGACCCACAAACACAGTCTGAGAGGAGAGCAGGAGAAACACAGTGGTTGAAAATAGAATTCAGATCCCACTGAGCCCCTTACCATGGAGCAGAAGCACATTTCACTGACTTATGTATTCAAGTGATTCAAAACATCAGAAAAAGCATTTTCAGTTAGTCAGGAGCTTACAGCTGAGACTGCTATGTGGTTATGAACCAGGCTCCTCTGACTGGGTACACATTGTCCAGAAAACCTGCTCATAAAAACAACTTTTTCTACTAATTCCTCCTATCCTCAAAGGCATAAAGTCACTGAGGACAAATAGATGCACGCAACATTTAGGTAACACCAAATTCCTGCCTCAAAGCAGTGGGACTCCATATATGTCATCTGAGTGCATGCCTCCAGGGGTGTAAGTGATGACATGACCTCAGGTTAGACTGAGAGGTACCTCAGTCTGAAGGATAAATCTTGTACTGAGTTGCCAGCCTGCCATTCCCTTCAAAAATTTGACTTAATTTAGAAAATAAGTCCTTCAGTTGCACTGATTTAATTCTTTTATTAAGAGTCATTCTTTGAGACCATCTGTAGGGATGTAGTGATTCTGATAACCTATTTGTCCTGGTAGAAGGATGCAGTTGCAGCTCTATTTACATCTAATTGTGTTTTTTTATTAGACACAAATTACCAGAGCTTGGGCATGATGGACTCCTAAATTAGGTGTCCAGAGCATGAATCCCTGAGCAGAATCCTAAGCATGTGACTTCTCAAAGTTCCTAAGTGGTTTTATAAATTGTGGTTACTCAGGAAAATTTTATAATAAGTGATAGATTGTTGTTAATTAATCTGGCGTAGATTTAAACAGCATTATTTCTGGGCACTTATCCTAATGAAATCTCCAGTGGGCAATATGTATGTAATTTCATTGGAATTATACAGCAACTGAGCATGATGTAGGATCCAATCAGTTTTAAACCAGGCCTAAACATGCTCCGCTTTAGCAGAAGAGGCCAATCATTATTATTTCAGGAGCTATTCTTTGTAATAAAGTTAACCATGGTGAACTAATATGATTTTAATGTGAAAATAATATGTGCTTCCCTAGGTGCTTCATGCTGCAACCCCAGAAGTTAAAAACCTGGTCTTTTCTGTGCTGAGATGGTGGAAGTTTGGTTTTGTGCCACGTACAGGAGCTGGCTGCCTGCTCATCCCAGGTCCACAGCAGCAGTGCTGCGCTGGCTGAGCTTTGGGGTAACCACCCTGCAGTGGCCCACGTTGCCCTGGAGTCTCTCTCAGCCAGCACTGTCACAGGTGAGCTTTTAATCTAACTGAGAGCAGAACTCACTGATAGAATTCCTCTTGAGACTTCCCAGTCTGAGACTCTTTTGCTGACAAGAGTCCCATCCTCTGTATCCTGTCCCTAGTGGGGGGAAAGGTACCGCAAACCTGGGTTTGGCCCTAATCTCAGCTCATGAGTTTGAGAGCCATGTTCATCTCTAATTCTTGTGAGAACCACCCTTCCCAATGTCCTTTTACAGTGGGAATTTGGGGCGTGCAACAAGTAGTAGCTACCTAAAGATGTGAGCATTGGTCCTTGTTGTATTCTATCACATATACTTATCCCACAAGTTAGATTTGAAGAAGCTGTGTGTTCAAAAGGACCTGAATTTTGAAAACCAGCCAGTATTACTACATCCTTTCTGTGCAAGGTTGAATTATCTACACTTTAACAAAAGATTCTTTATTACCATTTTTTTTGTATAAACTGCACAGTGACAGAAATTCTCTGGACTGTGGATTACAACACAAACATTTGAAGAATGATGATGCAGAAGTTGTTTCCTTCTGGACATGTTAATTCGCAGGAATGAAAATCTACTCCAGAGAGCCACTGTGCTTAATCCAAATGTTCAAGATGTGTAGTTTCTCACAAATAAACAAATTTACAGTTTTTTAGAATGTTATACTTACAGCTTGCTAGCTGCAGTTGGCATGTTTGTGTGTCCATAGGGTATTTTGACAGGTCCATGTTACAGGCAACAGTAGTAGTGATTCTGTAGGTAGAGAAAGAATGCTGAAAATTTCAATAAAAGCATGTTTTATGCAGAAAACTGGACCACAAAGCTCTGCTCTGTCAGTTAGCTTATTTGGATCTATGATAAGAATTAACTGAGAATCCTCAAGAACAAGCACCCTCTGCAGCCATCCTAATGAAAATGTAGCCCGAGGAGGAGTTTTGCTTTGAACTGGTGGGATATAGAGTGTAGACTCATATTTTTTTCACATTGCTGCAATTTGCTCATCTTAAGGAGTCAGTGCTTGCGATATGAGGCACAGTGACTAACTGCACACATCCTCTGATGTAGAGGTAGCTGAGTTTTACTCTGCAGCTGAGGTAACTGGGACCCAGTTACTGCAAGCTAAGGAGAGCACTGTAGGAATTGCTAAGTCAAGTGCTGTGCACCTTCTGCAGTTCATGGGCAAATACGTTTCTTGGTAAAAAACAGAAGATAACACTACATGGCACTGGATAAGCAAATGGTTTCACACAATCAGTTAAACTTCTACTGTTGTTATGATGTCCTCCTTCCATTGCTCTCCTGCCCCCATCTGACTGGATTTTTCTTAGTGACATCTGAACTCGTGAGTTTTCTGAGCAGGCCTCAGGACACAACATGTACTGTGATAGAGATCCTGATCCTCGACTGGCATTTCAGAGGCCAGAACAGGGGGAAATGGATCAGCAGAGAACGGTCACAGCTGGCTTGTTGACCCCAAACTTATGATCTGTGACAGCTGGTATCTGCTCCTGTCCAGGGTGATTCTGGAAATCTATTCTGAGCCTGCAGCAGCAAAGCCAGATCTCTGTACCTTAAGGCATACAAGACAGTGCCATTAGAGAACAGCCTGATGAGGCGGTTGCCCACGGTGACATCATGCAGGAAGGACCTTTTTGACTCCACAACATAGGTGTCAGGCACCCAAAGCAGCTCCACCAGGCAAGCATCCAGTGCGAAGCTCTTGTTACCATGGAAAACCAGCCGAGGGTCTGTCCAGCGCTGCTGCAGGCAGATGGTGGCTGTGTAATCCTGGGGAATGGAGCAAAGCCTGGGGATGTGTGTCCAGGCACCTGCATGGCACAGCTGGGGCACACCACGTGTGTGACAGGGGACAGAACATATCCTTGTTCAACCTCTCACAGCCAAGCTTCAAGCTTCACTTTCATCACAGTTTTATTCACTCTGTAATATTTCTAATGCACTTTTACTCTAAGGTGTGAGGTTTGAGGACTAAAGATTGTACTTAGATTAATTTATGTTTTTAATGAGCAGTTATTGTAACTGATGTTTTTGTGCCCATTTTGCAGGTAAGAGAACAGATGGAAAGCACATACTTGAGGCCACCCCACAAATAAGCCATTGACATTACAGAAATAAGTCATTGCCTAGAGCTGGGAAATTCCACAAGTACTATAAATCTGGTCATCAAAGAGGCACTGGGACTTTGGAGAAAAGTGGTAAGTGAATCCAACCTGTTATGTCAGGGATGTCTTAAAAAAACCCCAAACAAGTGAAAAAAGAAAACTTGTGCCTTCTATTTTAATAGGAATTTTGAATCTAAGAACACTGGGATTGAGTTCAGTTCGGCTTGCCACAATCAACCTGCAGCGACTGGAGTGTTCTCACAGTGCCCCACCAGGAAAGAATAAGCAGTACCCACTCAGCTCTGAATCTGATGCTTTGCTGAGCCTTCTGGACACCAAGGCACTTCTGGACTATACAACTTCCTTCCTCACAAGGGATGCCACACAGGATTGATTTTTTCTATTTCCACAGGGTCTGATTTCCAGGAGGTGCTGAGTTTTTGACCAGTAGGACAAGAGTCCACTTCTATTTACTTATAACCCCACATTACTATGGCATCTACACGTCTGCAGTCACAAATGAGCTCTGTTTTCATCCCACTACTGAAAATGGTCAACAGCCCCTGAACAGCAAAGCAGTTTCAAAATGACCATTTCTGTGCTGGACACACAGGAATACATGTGAAGTCTCTCAGGCATATCCCAAACTTAACTTGTAAAATAAAAGTTCTTTCACTTACCATGTTACTTTCAGATATGCTAGAAATACTTGCAATGTCCAGACTCATTGCTATTTGTACAGGCTCTCCTGCAGAGGAAAAGTGCTTCAGCAGAGAGAAAGGAAATGTGAAGGGTACAGTAAAGCCATTCAGGATGCTGTGCAGGGTGGGCAGTGTCTTCAGCCTTGCTTGCTGTCAATAACACTGCAGAGGCACAGAGGGTCAGACACAGTTCCAGAGCTTTAGGCTCACAAATGACATGATCCAAAACGCAGCTGTCACTGTTAGCGAGCTGGAATTCTGTGTTTGGTGATGGTAGCAGGGGGCCAATACCCAGCAGCACTGGCTGCGAAGCTCAGCAGCTCAGATCAGCAGCAGTTCCGTGGCATTTGCCGTTGGACAGGCAGCCAGGGCCACTTTGTCCTTTGATCCCAGCCCACAGCAGGCACAGAGCCGTCGGGCTGAGAAACTCTGCACAGAGCACTTCCCACAGCTCGGGGAGCACTGAGCAGCCCCGGTTCCCGGGGAGGAGCCACCGAGATTCCCAGCTCGCCATTCCCGAGAAGCGGCGGCCTCTGCCCGGCTCCGGCTCCGCCGTGAACCGACAGCAGCTCCGAGCTGCGACCGCCGGGAGCCACCGCGAGAGGGCAGCACCGCCCGGGACAGCCACACGGGACGGGTG